CTCTCTCTCTGGTTTCTGACTCTATCCACTGTCCTCTCTCTCTCTGGTTTCAGACTCTATCCACTGTCCTCTCTCTCCCTGGTTTCAGACTCTATCCACTGTCCTCTCTCTCTCTCTGGTTTCAGACTCTATCCACTGTCCTCTCTCTCTCTCTGGTTTCAGACTCTATCCACTGTCCTCTCTCTCTCTCTGGTTTCAGACTCTATCCACTGTCCGCTCTCTCTCTCTGGTTTCAGACTCTATCCACTGTCCTCTCTCTCTCTCTGGTTTCAGACTCTATCCACTGTCCGCTCTCTCTCTCTGGTTTCAGACTCTATCCACTGTCCTCTCTCTCTCTCTGGTTTCAGACTCTATCCACTGTCCTCTCTCTCTCCCTGGTTTCAGACTCTATCCACTGTCCTCTCTCTCTGGTTTCTGACTCTATCCACTGTCCTCTCTCTCTCTCTGGTTTCTGACTCTATCCACTGTCCTCTCTCTCTCTCTGGTTTCAGACTCTATCCACTGTCCTCTCTCTCTCTGGTTTCAGACTCTATCCACTGTCCTCTCTCTCTCTCTGGTTTCAGACTCTATCCACTGTCCTCTCTCTCTCTGGTTTCAGACTCTATCCACTGTCCTCTCTGTCCCTGGTTTCTGACTCTATCCACTGTCCTCTCTCCCTGGTTTCTGACTCTATCCACTGTCCTCTCTCTCTCTGGTTTCTGACTCTATCCACTGTCCTCTTTCTCTGGTTTCTGACTCTATCCACTGTCCTCTCTCTCTCTGGTTTCAGACTCTATCCACTGTCCTCTCTCTCTCTCTGGTTTCTCTCTGGTTTCAGACTCTATCCACTGTCCTCTCTCTCTCTCTCTCTGTGGTTTCTGACTCTATCCACTGTCCTCTCTCTCTCTCTGGTTTCTGACTCTATCCACTGTCCTCTCTCTCTCTGGTTTCTGACTCTATCCACTGTCCTCTCTCTCTCTCTCTCTGGTTTCTGACTCTATCCACTGTCCTCTCTCTCTCTCTGGTTTCTGACTCTATCCACTGTCCTATCTCTGCATTAAAGGCACGAAAAGCCCAAAAAATTAATCTTAAAAATGAGTACTGCAGTTGAAATTCTAAACATCACAGAGAGCTGTCTCCCCCCCCTCCTCTCTAGAGTGGATGCTCACACGGCCTCACCCGCTTCCATCGCTGCAACACCTGTTGGTTTGACCTGATAACTGCTCTCATATCTGACAAACCGAGGGACGTCCAAAACGGCCGTGTGGGGGGGTCGCCTTAAAAGCGCCTACCTTCTCTGGTCCAAACAAATCCAGATCATTCAGGAGCAGAATCTAAAGTTAGAAGGAGGACATACTGGCTGCTGCATTGTTGTCAGCACTTCAGCATGTGACAGAAGAATTGCAAAGTTATATTTAGCTTTCTGTCTTTCTTGTTGATAGTTGAAGTTTTTACAAAGTACCAACAGTAACAAAATGTACCCTAAAGCTCAAAAAGTACATTTCATTGTGTCACGGGAATGATTTTTATGACCCTTTTTCTGGCAAGTGAAGACTCCAGGGGAATATGGGACGCAGCCAAGAAAGCTTCTTGGACCACAGCCCCTCATAAAACTGTTCATTATTGGTTTTACATTTCAGGTTTACTATGGATTACATACACAAAGGACTGTAATTGTATTTACTGAACTCTGGGGATGCTTGGAGGTAGATTTGGGACGAAGCCAGACCAACTGTTGTCCCTCTGTTTCAAGTATTTATGCAAAGATAAGCAAGCTGTACTTTAGGTTCTTTTATAATGCAAAGACACCAGAGAGGTATCATCTCATCTCAACTCCCTAAAAGTATAAAACAACAAGATGCTGACTCCCCCATGAATGTCCAAAACAAGAATAAAGATATCACTCTGAAATGTACACAAGGAGGTTTTGAGCAGACGCTCTTCTTCAGGGTGTGACAGGTCATTCCCACAAACATACACAGGTGAGACTAATTACACCAAAAGAGGAGGACCAAGGATAATTCCCATATTCAAAAATATCGATGGAAACGATTTATAGTCCTATTTTTGTCATGTTTAAAAAAAAAAGAAGTGATATAAAGATACTTACATCTGGACTTTTCCCCGCCATAACGCAGTGTCTCACGTTGTATTTAGAAGCAGGCCAGTGGATCTGATTGAGGACAAAAACAGGAACAAATTGTAATCCGACGCAGCACTTCGAAGTTTGATTGATGGATTTTTATTTTAAGAAGGTTAAATGGTGATGCATCAAACTCGGGGAGGCCCCACTAAGCTGTGTGGTTTATGGTCTCACCGTCTGCGTGGGCAGACTCAGGCTGTCAGGTCTCAGCAGGTAGATGTGGTCTTTCCCTCCGACCAGCAGCCATCCCTGATCCTCATCCAGTAACATGACCTGGTATCCACCGCTGACTCCGCCCTCCCAGAAGACCGCCGAACTGTTCTTCAGATCTGAGAGAGAGAGAGAGAGAGAGAGAGAGAGGAGACATTTAAAGTCTGACTGGAACATAGACAGCTTTTGAATAAGGATAGAAAATACTTTATCTTCTCCATTTGATGCAAAGGCAGATGTTGCTGGCGAGTTCAGGCAGGCTAATCGAGCTTCACTGGTTTCACACCGACAGGAGTCATTATCAGCGATCATCTGAAAACACATCCTCCTAATTTGGCGGTCTTTAAGCTGCAAGGTTTCCGGTGTCATTGCTGCTGCCCCACACCTTTACTACACATATACTCTCAGATCCACAACCTCCAAACAACAACCTGCACGCTCTGATTGGACTTGAGGTCTGAGACTAGACACTTAACTGCTCGCTTCAAATTTCAAACTCTGCTGCTTGCTTACAAAACAGCGACAAAAACAACTGAGTGACCAAACTCCATTCGATCTCTTTGCACCTTTAGCTTTTTGTTAAACACCCAGCTCTTTATTAACACTTATGACCTTCATGATGATGATAATTAGGATGTTTTTGATGCTGATTAGAACTCTCAAGAACAGCTGTTGACATTGGCTCAGCCTCTGGTCACTTCCTGTCAGTATCTCTGGTCACTTCCTGTCAGCACCTGTGTGTCCGATCAGACTTAAATCTGTTCTTTTGCACTTCCTGTCGTTGTCTCCTCCTCTCTAGATCCTCTAATGTCCGTCACTTTGGATAAAAGCGTCTGATAAATTTATTGTAGACTTGTAAACTCAAACTATGCTCTGCTGCTGCAACAAACATTTTGAAACCATTACAAACACGTGTTGTCTGACTGAACTTTACCTCACCTTTAGAGCTCACATACTGTACGAACACGTCAATATTACCCACACTATAATAATAAACACAGTGGGAGCCGATGTGCATAATGAGGACCGAACACTCGGTTACTTTCTGAAACTCGAGCGTGCTGGACTCATTCTTGTCGAGTATTTTGCTACTTTTGCTCAAGTTAATTATCTGACCCCCTCCCCTCCACCACCCCCACATCCCGCTGCAAACACACACATAGTTACACACACACAGCTACACACACACACACCAGCAGCAGTTCATCAGTCTGCCTGCGGAGTGTTTGCCTCTCTCTCTCCCGGGGGAGTCGGGTTAAAGCAGGCAGAAAACGACCTGAACAAGCAGAGCACATTAACCCTGAAACTCGGCCTCGGCCTGCTGCTCGCCCGTCGCTCTGTTGACTCTGTAACGCTGTCAGCTCGGCCTCGCAGGGCTGTGAGCGGTAACTGGAGCGAGGAGGAAAAATGACGAGGGGGTTCTTTCTAATATGCAATACATCTCGACTCAGAAGACGAATAGTTCTATAATAATAACGGTATTAATGTAAACCAAAAAATGTTTCTCCTGGCAAAACTCTTCTGTGGTGATTAGGTTTCATGCTTTCTTTGTGTTTTCTCGGTTTTTAATGTTGAACTTTCCACATAACCTCAGATTCATCTCCCACTTCCACTGACTGCACAGGAAAAAGATTCTTCCCTAATAATTATAAAATAATAATTGTCATTTTTTAAATTGGTATTTACTTCTGTCTTTATGAGAAAATAAACTAAATGAGCGGATTCATATATATACATCCATCCTCTGCAAATTATCAGAGGCAGCAGGCTAGTTCCCCCAGACGTCCGTCTCACAAGCGCAAATTTTTCTAGTTCCTCCTGGGAGATCCCGTCGACTTCCCAGGCCGGAGAGGATTTATAATCCCTCCAGTTCGCTTCCCAGTTGTGGGTATAGTTTTGTTACAGTGACCGTGTTAACACTCTGTTATCCTCGGCGTTCCTCCTACACAATAAAAAAATCACCATTGAAAAATGTGATATTTGCTTACTGCTGTTAGAAGAAGAGAATAATGCATCCATTCATTTTATTTGACTCTCGAGTTACTTTTAGTCGTTTTCTCAAGATCTTGAGGAATCAACTATCACAGGAAAGCTAGTGTTGTATCTCAAGACAATTAAATAAATAAGTTGAGATCTTGAGAATATAAATGCAATTTTCTCGTTGTCATGGTTAAAAGAATCAAAACAAAATGTAAGGATGTGTGTCCGCTAAGTGCTTCCTATTTAACACATACATAACCTCTGGTTGTTTCTTCAGCAAGTCTTGTTTTTCTATTTCTGCAAAAACAACAAAAAAAGGCTTGTTTCTGTCACGCCTCTGATTGATGCTTTATACATGCATGCATCTTCTCAATGCCTACAATCTTTAGTGTATATCATGATGCGTTTAGGTTAATAACAAATCTCAGGACTCTGACTCATCACTGATCGAGTCGGCTGGCCTGCATTATCTGTTCATGGACTCATTTATAAGATTATACTGAACCTGCTTCACTCATACATAATGTGTTGTATTGGTGTGAAAAGTGCTGGAAACTCATTTTTGTGATCATTCCCCAAAGTGCGTCTTGAAACAAAGAAAAGGAGTTTCATGTACGCTGCTCCTGCAGGACAATCTGTGTCTGGGGGAGCTGCTCTCTTTAAATCTTTTTTAAAGTAGATTGAAGGTGTTGGAGGACGATGCTTCAGGTTGCAGATGCTTTAAATAATGACTTTGTGCTCTGTGACTCAGGACTGATCTGTGTTTAATGTCTAACGTTGTTTATGAGCTGCTACCCGTCTCGGCCAGGACTTATTCACTTCTTAATCTTCTTAAATTCATTTGAAACAACACAAATCGCTTTCTAAAAGAGAAGTCGTTCTTTACGTTTGTCTCCATTATGCAAAGTACTGCGTCCTCCATCTGTAACAGATTTGGAGAATCCGGGTCGACTGAAGGTAAATCCATGAACTCTGGCTGTAAATGTGAACTTGAGTAAAAACACTAATTAACCTTGAAGCTCCCCGAGTTCTCCTGCCGCCTCTAGCCGCCCTGCCAGTCCGCTCAGTTGACCTGCCTGTGCTGCAGATAATCACCTGAATGAGCGAGGGGAAATTAACCGTGAAACTGGAAGAGACTGTCATGACATTCAGACCCCACACTGAGGAGGGAACAGAGACGCCGTCCTCCTGCTCGCTGGCTTTAAGAGAAGTCGTGTCTTTGAATGCAGCACGGCACATTTGTGACCAGTCAGCACCGGTGAAAAACATTTAAAAAGAAATAAATCACAGCAGCTCTGACGCCCTCGAAGCTTTCATCAGAGCTGACAACAGAGTTTCTGCTCGCCAACAGGACGAGGAAAATGTAGAAGAGAATCATGGGAAACATCAGCGGCAGAGCGATGTGGTCGGGTTCATATGTACGACCATTAATCACACTCGGTCACACTTCAAACTTAACATGAAGCCACAACTGAAGGGATTCCTCTCACAAGAAAGTCTTACAGGAGAACAAAAAAGCATGAAGTTTAAATCCTACTTCTTCTGAAGGTTATCCTTTCATGATTTTTTTTTTATCTTTATTGTTTCTCTTCTGGTTTACATCTCTAGTGGCATCTCAAAGGAGAAACTTTCTTCACCACTTTTGCAGGTGGACGTAAAGTTTTGGACGCATGCTTTCACAAAGACATGCGATCCAAATGAGGAAACAATGACGAAGTATTCCACAACAATCACCAGTTACTTATCAAAGAGAAATCATTCTTGTTACTCTGAATGTAAAAGCCAAGTGAAGGAGTAGGAGAAGTATCTTGGGGTCTTGTTGAGTGAGGGTCAGATGGACGGCAGTAATGTAGGCATGCTGGTAAAGAGGGGGTGGAGCCTGAAGGCAAAGCTCTGCATTTACCGGTCGATCTTCGTTCCAACCCTCACGTGTGGTCATGATCTTTGGGTAGTGACCGCAAGAATAAGATCACGGATACAATTCTACAATTCAATACAATTCACTGAGCAGACTCTTTTATCCAAAGTGACGTACATCAGAGAGTAAGAACAACACAAGCAAGGATCTGGAAAAAAGGGAACAATGTCAGTAAGAGCAGACGATCAGCTTTGAGTCTGATTGGACACACAGGTGCTGACAGGAAGTGACCAGAGGCAAAGCACAACATTGAGGGCAGTTCTTGAGAGCTCTAATCAGTATAGAAACCATCTTATAAGTCGTCGTTATCAAACAAAAACCATCGTCATTACCATCATCATCATCAATAATATGGAGACCATCATCATTAAGTTAGTAGGTATTCATGAAAGAGCTGGGTATTTAGCTTTTTCTTAAAGGTGCAGAGGGACTCTGCAGAATGGAGTTTGGTAGTTCATTCCACCACCGGGGGGCGACAGAGGGATACAAACGGATACAAACGGCCGAAATGAGTTTCCTCTGAAGGCCGTCTGGACTTAGAGAGAGGGGGCGGAGCGTAGACATTCTCGAGGAGCTCGGAGTAGAGTCGCTACTCGTTCACATCTGAAGGAGCGAGCTGAGGTGGTGGTGCGGGCATCTGATTAGGATGCAGCCTGGACACCTCCCTTTGGAGGTTTTCAGGGCCGACAAACTAGGAGGAGACCCTGGGGTAGACCCAGAGCTCGCTGGAGGGATTATAGATGCTGTCTAACCTGGGAACGCCGGAATCACCCAGGAGGAGAGGGACGTCTAAGTTGTCTTACTTCGCCTGCTGCCAACGCGACCCGACCTTCAAGTTCAAGTTTATCAAAAGCCATTTCAACAATACAGTTGATAGGAAATTTGTCTTGGTGTGCTCACATATACCACACAATGACATGAACGCACAGACATTAACAACACATAATGCACTGTACATAAAGATGTGTAAACAGGTGGATAAGCTGAAGAAAATGGATGGATGAATGGACTATAACATAACACAAAAATAACAGATTATGTGTTGATTTATAGGCAACAGTCACAGAAGTTTCTCCCCTTCAACCTGATTTTCTCTGTAGCTCAGACATGATCTTTTTCCTGATACGGCAGGAAGTTAAGTGCGTGAGTTTAAAATGTTCACCCTTCATCAGTGCATCCACTACAGATACTTTTTGTTAAATCTTAACACTTTCCATGAACTGTTCTTGTACTCTAAAATATCTCGAAGGCTTCTAAACTCAAAACAAAA